CATACACACACATACACACACATACACACACACACACACACACAAACACGTGTACAAACATTTGCTGGTTTTTTTGTTAGTGTAGAATGTAGAAGATTTTACGCCCTGTTCGACATAATTTAAATCGTTTATGAGGCAGTCTTGAACCCTACCTTTTGGGCCACGCGGGGCTGAGGGGGGTCCAACATCCCAACAGGAAGACGGAAATACTCATTAAAAATTCTACCCACTCGGGAACTGAACTAAAGTATGTGTCATGCAGGGGCGAAGCACCTGATCTCTGCACCACAGACAGCGGTTCGTTAAGGGCGGCACCAAAGTCTACAATTCATTGTGAGCTGTAAGCTTTCAGGGAAGCCGATAATGTTGTTGAGTGTTCTAGGGTATGATGGGGTAATGATAATTAATTGCAAAGCGCATACAGCATGCTACAGAGCGTAAGTATGTGCTGGGTATGAAAACAAAAATACAGTAGGCAAGCGCAATGGGCTTCATGCTACTGGACTTGTCTGTAAGAAGAACAAAACCCCAATGCATCACTTAGAAGGGTCGATGAAGTCATGTTTCCTTAAAATCGCACGGATTAGGTCTAGTGTTTATCTCGAAAAAGGTAATTGATATTGGCAGTTTTAAGTCGTACCTTCCTTGGATTTAAAGACTGGCTTTACATAATTCGTTTGAGCTCCCTCCCCCTTTTTAAACACAATGTGTTTTTAAGGCTAACCCTGATTTAGTGAGATACAGTATCCTAGTAGAAAACAGAGATAACAGGGTTAAAACAGAGTCGTACATTATTGTTTGCTTTTTTTTTCTTTTTTTAAAATTCCCATTGCTTAATTTATTTGGTCTTTCATTTTTTCATTTCTCACTTTACTATCTATGGACATTTTTTCGATATCTATTTTCTTATTTAATCAGTATCCATGAATACTCCTTAAATAGACCAGCATAGTTATTTGTAACGGTTTGCATAATAATACATATTTTTACAGCATGTATTTGTTATGTATCAGATTCTATTTTTAGGTTGAGAGTTGGAAGGGGGGGTATGAAGTGCGTGTGAAGGGTGAATGGGGCGTGTGACCAGAACTAGCTCCTCGAGCTTCATGAACAAGTAACCCAATTCATGAGGGCAATTCAGGATAGATGGGCCGTTGGGTAGATAAATAGTGCGCGGCCAACATGCCTCCCCATTACCCTGTATCTAGGTCATCCGAGTAATTCTCGGACAGATCGGTGTAATTGATCTCGTGATTGATTCCTTCCTGATCTCCCTTCCTCTCCCCAGGCACAGTTTCCCGTGAAATGTCGGAGCACGTGACCGGAAGTAGCAACATGACTCACGAGAATTCTTCAGTGGTAGAGCTCAACGTCGGAGGCGTTTTCTACAGGTGAGGACCTTAAGGGTAGAATGTTTTATGTGGGTTCAAATATATTATCAACACAATAAGGTTAATAAAAAAAGGGGGTTGGGAGCTCTGAGGTTTACACACATCTCTGATATGACCAAGCTGCATCGGCAGTATCTCTTGGAACTCTCCAAGAACAATCTCTTACATATTCGAGCTATTTTCATCTATTATAGTCCATGCAAGGGGTAAATTGTACTTCAGATGGAAATCTAAATACTCGAGATTGTATTTTATATAAACGTAAACAAAAAACCAAAAGATGCAAATTTGAGAAGGCTGTTAACGTGAACTTAAACCCATCATTCGTAAAATAAGTGAACGAGTCTTTCACACACGTTACCCCGACGATTCAAATGTGGACCTCCATATGAGCAGCGACGCCGGATGTACGTAGTAGGTTAGGTAAGTTCCTGTTGGAGGGCCCAAGTATACTCTTACCGATGGTGATGTGGTCGTCATTCTGGGGACTGTTATGGTCGAGCGAGGGCTTAACAGAGATGTTGGCTGCTCTCGTTGTTGTGGTCTCTTTTTTCTCAGTGACACTTCGATTGCAGTACATTTCAAGTACAGCCGACATTGTGCTTACGCTGAGAGTATAGTGCGCCCGTGTCGTTCACGGTCGCACTCTGCACGGCGGCACGGGTCTTGAAAGGGAGTATTGTGAACCCGTGCGGAAGTCTGCAGCAACCATCTATGGCCGCAGCACTCGACATGGCGCTTACTGGTACTAAAGTAGGGTACTAATGATCTAAACTGAAAGGGGCGACTGTCTTGGGTTGGGTTTTTTTAAGTAAAAAGGAAGCAAAAAAAATCCCATTTGGAAATAAAAATGTTCCTGACACTGTCAGGCTGTTGAATTCATATTCTTTTTTTGGGAAATAGATTTTGTCTCAAAAGGCGCAAACGTTCTTTTTACAATCAATCTATACATGTAATTGTAATTGTAAAAATATGTCAAGACCTAATCAACACAGGGGGCTCTCGTGGCCTACAGGTTAAGGTGTTGGCCTCTCATTCAAAGGTCCCGGGTTCGATTCCGGGTAGCGACCAAAAAATTTTCTTCTCTAAAATTATCTCCTTTCACATCCTTTCCTGATCTCTAACAATGTTCTGTTGTCTGCTTTCATTTCCACTTTCTGCCCCCACCCCCTCACCTCCTTTGCCCCCTCCTCTGGGCTCCTGACTCTTTCTGCAGCCTACTGCTACTCCTTGGCTCCTCCTAACTGCTGTCTTTCTGCCACACCCCTGATCTTCTGGTAGGAAAGATCTACACCTAGCCTTCTCGGACAAGGGCGAAAAATCTCGGAGGGCCCGTGTGCAAGTTGCGCACGTTAAAGATCCCTTGGTGGTCTAAAATCGATAAGAGTAGGCTTCGGCCGCCACCCGGGCAAAATTCAAAATTTTCTACCAACGAAAAAGTATTAGGTGTGTCTCGCGCGCTCATATGACCTTATGCAGTTGCGAGCGCCGTAAAACCCTATACTAAACAAACAAAAATCAACACAATTTAGGTAATCAATCTCTGTATCCCTCAGCACAAGTGTGGAGACGTTGAAGAGAGAGCCCGAGGGAACGCTGGCCAAGTTGTTCTCTGACAGTGGCAAGATGAAGGCAGCCAGAGACGCCAAGGGGAAGTACTTCATCGACCGGGACGGCGTTTTATTCAGGTGGGTTTTATTGGTCTTGGAGATAGCAGGCTGTGGGTTTCACGCCCTTTTCAACACTGATAGGTACACATGGAAAATGATGGTAAAAACTCAACACTGAAAGGTATAATTAAAGAGTGCCAATAAAACTCAGCACTGATAGGTACAACTAAAGGGTGACTGTGAAGTCTAATCCCCGCCCCCCCCCTTTCTCTCTCTCTCTCTCTCTCTCTCTCTCTCTCTCTCTCTTTCTCTCTCTCTCTCACACACACACAAACACACACACACACACACACACACACACACACACACACACACACACACGCACGCACACACACAAATGTCGTCAGGATGTGACGTGGGTTGTCTATTGGCTAAGCTCTCGGAATTGCAACAGTGGGGTCATCGGTTCTAATCCCCCCAGAGGTCCGATTTTTGTGACCTTGAAAAAAATAGGGCGGGGGGAGCGAGAGGTGTTGGCGTGGTTATAATGTTGATTTATATTTCCTTTGTTGTGGTAATGTTTTGGCCATCGGCTGTTTTGAGAGGCCTGCTCAGCACCCTAATAGTGCGAGCAGCTGGTTCTTGGATGTTATAGCTTGTCGCCATGCAGATAGGATGTCCCGCTGGTAATGCCTGTAGTTCTCGCCAGCATTTAACCTTCTTCTCCCTGTTCGACTGCTTACTGTTACCGTCAAAATCATGAATACCTTTTCTTTTGAACCAGTGTCTGTGGTGTACTGATTAAACTCTTCGCTGTTGCAAGCAAAACTACGCAAGGGAGAAGTGGAAATCTTTATCTGTTGTTGTGAAAATGCACATTAATCGCCATCATGACTTAAACATAATTTTGTTGACGTGTAAAAATCGTATATCTAACTTACCCTTATTGACTATGCAGCCTAGAGATTCATTATTATTAAATCAAATTCCACAAGGACCTAAAGATACACAACGAAGGTCGCAGGGGGGTCATTTATCTGTGCATAGCGTGTAATGATATAGGCCCTTGAACAATCCAAGTGGAAAACCGAAAACGGGTGATTCGCAACGGTACAACAAAATTTCTAGTTAAATGGACTCACATTATCATCTCGGCCGAATGATTCTTGGAATTCTGTGTTTTCTAAACCACAAACAGTTTTAATCAACTTTTAGTAATGTATGTCAAGAGGTCTTTGCCTTTTTCTTATTCGCAAAATTGTGTTATAGCTTGTTCACTTTCATGTGACAGTGTTTAAAACAAAATTTATAATAAATTGCTCTTTTTAATCTTCACAAATCTTTGCATACGAGCCTAAGAGTTGGATGACCTACGTAATCTAAAAGACTATTAATTAAGGTCACTGCAAAGTAAGGTTCCTACACGCTTTCTTTGATGTAAGCTTAAAGCAGGTAACAAAATAATAGTGAATTTACAGCATACACCTAAAACACACAAAAGTTGACATATTTTCTTCAACACTTCACGATAACGTTCTCCTTAAAGACGCTATTCAAGAGATTAGGTGGGTAATTTTCCAGACTCAGTTTAACACCGAAATGAGAGAGCAGGGTGGTGTGATTGTCTCAAAATTAGAAATGTGTAGGCAAGGTCACTGCGAGTCATTTACTTTAGTAATCCCGTGAATGCATCCAAAGAGCGGTTTTTAATAAAGGACCCAAAGAGAAAACTTTTTATTACTGGATCAAGATTTCTCCTAAAATATTTTCTTTTTTTTCGGACGCTGGCCTGCAGAAGTGCCATGTAATGTTTCGTGGGCACAGGTACATTCATAATTGAGCTAGAATTATCTTTTACGACGGTCAGACGAAAGTGAACTAGCAATAGTGTGAGTCTCTTTGTACTCAGTCAATCAAGAAAAGGTACAGCTAAAATAGTTTTAACTTGTTTGCGTTATGAAAGGGGTACAACACACAAGAATGTTCTTTGGACATAACATTTATTATCTAATAGTTTCAAAACTAAGAAGGTGTTTAATGTTCGCATACCTGTGGATGGTGAGCACTCTGGCATTGTATGTTCTTTCTTTAATGTGTTTATGTTTCAGTCGTTTCTGAAAGGAAAGAATCGGAAGCATTTACTAATACTTGAATCTCTTACTGGGTCATTATGGCTATTACAGTGCTAAGTCGTGACTCCCCATAACTGACAAATCAAGTCTGTAAACTTTTATTGCCCTCAGATATGTCCTCGACTATCTCCGAAATTTGAAACTGGTTCTCCCAGAAAACTTCCACGAGAAAGACCGGCTACGCCAGGAGGCCGAACACTACAATCTTCCAAACCTGGTCAAAATGGTGGCCGCCCACCCGTCGTTTCGCTCCGCCCACTACTCGCAGCTTCCCTCCCTCGGCCACCCGCAGCACGACAATCGGTATCATTCCCTGATGAGCAAACACATCTCGCCCCTCCCATCGACCGCAGCAGGAGGAGCAGGGGCCGGGGGAAGTAGCAGCTCCTCTACCCAATTAGACGCCAGTAGCAGTGCCGGGGCCAAAGGTCAAAACTTATCTTCTTCAGAGACACTGGCTCCCGACACCGCTGGAAACGCCACCTCCACTAACAACACTCCGATGACGTCAGCTTCGCCTTCTGGGGATTCTCGAGGCTCCGGCTGTATCACAGTCGGATACCGGGGCACGTTCGCGTTCGGCCGTGACGGTTTAGCGGATGTGAAGTTCCGCAAACTGAGCCGGATTATTGTCTGTGGAAAAGTGTCGCTTTGCCGTGAAGTCTTTAAAGACACGCTGAACGAGAGTAGAGATCCAGACAGGGGTGACAGCGATCGCTACACAAGCAGGTTCTTTCTCAAGCATTCGTTTTTGGAGCAGGCTTTTGACATGCTGCTTGAAGAAGGTTTCGAGTTGGTCGCGTCCTGTGGTTCTGGCACCAACAGCGCCGGAGAAGTCAAGCCTGGTCTGGATACGGAAGAGGCAAAATGGCAACATTATAACGAGTTTATCTTCGGAAGGCGTTGAAGATGAAACAATATAGAAGCATTTGTGGGGGAGGACAGGAAATAGCACTACATGTGTTGCCATAGAGGATCCTTGTTAGCTGGAAGACTGTCAAGACGCTTGTGAATAAGATAGCATTTGTGGGGGAGGACAAGAAATAGCACTGCATGTGTTGCCATAGAGGATCCTTGTTAGCTGGAAGACTGTCAAGACGCTTGTGAATAAGATAGCATTTGTGGGGGAGGACAAGAAATAGCACTGCATGTGTTGCCATAGAGGATCCTTGTTAGCTGGAAGACTGTCAAGACGCTTGTGAATAAGATAGAGAACAGAGGTATGTTTTCAGAGGCATCACCATCTTTAAGGATTTGCCGAGCGAACTGTTCAAAGCATTTACGATCAAATGATGAGTCTATGCTTTGTTTAAGTTGTGACGGTTTTTTTCAAAAAGCTTGATATAACAAAGTTGTTATATTACCATAATGAGACCTTTTGCTGAAATGATGGTATGTTAAGTACCACCGCAATAATAATTGGAAGCATATCATTGTATGAGCTCTGTTAAAAGTTCAAGGCTGTTAAATATAGCAGACTTCCTGTATAAGAGAGTTTGAGATGTTATCACGTTATGTTACAAACAGTATCTTATGCAAGACTACAACTAAAGGGACAGAAAGATGATACATTGACCCCAGAGTGAGTTTTGGTGATGAAGTATTTCATGGCCGATTTGGTACAAAACATGCCAAGACCCGTCTCCTCAGTGTTCTAATTGTGTCCATGGAGGCTTTGCACATTTACGGTATTTAGATGCCCAGCACGGAGACGGAATGAGAGCAATATCTAGTTGACGTTAGGTATTATACCTTATAACAATTGTGAATATGATGCTTACATTATGTGAGATGACACCCAATAACGATTGCGACGATCACGATGCTTACATTATGTGAAGTGATGCCTATTAAGTATTGTCAGTGTGACACTAGACTTTGTATGATTTGGAAAGACGGTACTGAACTTGATAACGATGCCTTGTACGAAATTTCGTTGAACTAAATGAATCTTTAGCCATTTGTTTTCTTTTTGCTAGACGCCCCCGGGCCCTTTCCCCAAAACCACACACACACTCACTTACACACACTCAAACATACCCACACACACTCACACACACACTCTCTATCTCTCACACACACACACACGCAACACATATATGCATGCAAATATACACACTCAAATGTATACACACTTCACTAGGTTAAATAATATCATGTCGCTTTCATAAATATAGTGAAGGCGGACAATTTGCCCTTGTGCAATTGTTAATAATAGATCCCCATCATTAGAATTTGTACTAGATTGTGTTTGAGTCCTGTAGCCTGGCGTATGATCCTTATTAAAAGCTCAAAACGGTCTTCAGCAAAGAACTGAGTAGAACTGAGCCATAGATAACACAACAGTACTGTCTTTAAGAAAAAATAGGTTGCTTTATAACGCATTGTAGAAGCTGAATCTTTAAAGACAGAATGGAAGCACTACTAGAAAAGTTGACATCGTGTTGGTCTACAGTGCGCATGACCTTTGTACGAACCCTAAATGTGGCGTTCTCAATTAAACATTGTTCTTTGTGGGAATTTCAAATTTTCCACTCACTTTTTCCGGTCTTGCAGGAGACAGACATTTAGTTCGGATGTCCATCTTCTTGAACAACAGTAGCATCTAAAAGGCGCTCTATCCCATTCAATTATTACCAACTCTCCCGAAAGGCAGACGTTTCTACCCAATTACTCTTCAGAAACAAACGTATGATAATAGTTGTGAAAATTGAGGTGTATTTAAGGGATTCAGAAATTTACAACACTTTGGGTTGTCATGTTCATTATGGACTGCTGTTTCTTAAAAGTAATCGGTTTTGTGTAAAATGCTTTTCCAGTTTATAATGTTATGCGTATGGTAATGCATAATTATGACGCTTTTATGGCTTGTAGTTTTTGTAAAGTGGGGAAGATCGATGACTCGTATTCATGTTGCATACATATGTATATGTCTGGGATTGCATGACACTGTGTTATTATGAGCGTGTGTGCTAGTTGATATGATAACATTATATGTTTGTGTTTTGCATTGATACAAATGTGCAAGGTGCACCATCTACGATTGTCGCTCACTGTCTTTTTTTTTTTTTTTTACATGAAATCACAAACCTTGTGAAAACTACAAATAAGAGGAAACAATGTAAGAGACAGCAATATTGTTGGTGAATCTTACATTGTTTGAAATTGGTCACAGATGGGAGTTGAACTGGTCAGGTGAACACGAAAATGCAGTTAGCCTGTCTGCCAGTTTCCAAAATAGCGTGCTGTACTGTATTATTGTTCTCTTTAAACCTATGAGATATGATCATAATTAAGTGCAGTGTAGTTAAGTGCTTTTGAGAAACGTTGCTAGAAGAGCTGGAAGCGTGTGTTCTATCCGAAAAAACGACACCTTGAGAACAGGAAAGCAGAGATAGAAAGTCAATTAAGAATAAGCGCTCATCTTGAGTTGTTGTTTTTTTCACCTTATCTAACAGTACGCTGATTCTTTTGATGAACACATAGACTCTTCATCTTGTACACAAAGAACGAGGGTTCCATTCCTTTACTTGTGGAGTGTTTCTGCCTTTTTACTGGGATATATCCAATGCAGCACGAGGGGACGTTAACAGGCAGGGACAAAGCAGTAAGTTTTCTAGATATTCTAGACAATTTTATACTGTGTGGACTGGGGTGCAAACAATCTGCAGGATCAACAACCTCGGACACAGAAGACGTGAGTCTTGATTGATTCCCAAATGGGGAAGCTATTTTATCAAGTATCCATGTCTGTGCTCTGGGTTGCAATATCCCACTTTGCCCAGGTTTGATCTTATCAGGCAGAGTCGAAGCAGGCAGCCAGCTACTAGATAATCCAAGTTCTATCGATGAGGATGTAAACATCTGTTGTCATTCTGAGACCCTTTATCAAAAGACACCCAGGGTTGTCGATGGGGCAGTTTTCCATGCCCTTCCTCTGGCACGACTAGGGTCCCATCCTTTTCAATAGAAGAAACGTAAATGATAGCCACATTCCATTGTGTGGCTGGAATTTTAAGTAGTAAACGTTGGAACATTTGGTGGAAATTTGGTGACCGATACTGTTTACACCTCTGTAAACTATTTTCATTGTCATATATTTTTGCATCATTTGATATGTTAATATGTCCATTTACTGGAATGACTGCTTCCTTTTGGAGTGAGCTGGTTCATAAACTTTGTCGAAGTAACTAAGCAAATAATGTTATTTTGTATAATACAGTAATTAGACAGATTTCCGCCATGTTTCCTCTTTTTAAGATTCTTATGGTAGTTTTGTTTTCTGGATTTTTCCAGCCATAAATACACTAGCATGAATACATACTTTGTTATAAATTACAATAATTGCTTCCAGTATTCTCATATTCATGACATTTATCATTCGCGATCACTCTCTTGCGTTGGGTCTGTTTGCCATGCGTTACGTGGTTTTCATAAAATAATGTAACCGCTTGTACGAAGTGTGACTGGAGGATTTTTTAATTAGAATACTTGAAGTATAAGGGTTAACAGCCTCTTTGGTATAGTGGTTACCTTCAGCGCAGCTGCATTCAAGAGGTGTGAAATTAATTCAAGTTGGAGGTAACCTACTCTGATTTATAAACGAGTGTCTCCGTATATCTGTTAGGGTGTGGAATTACCCATATAGACAAAGTCGGAACAACCCGTTTTTGCAATAATTTATGGAGTCAATTGGGACGTATGTTAATTTTTGTTGTTTTTTCAAAAAAAAACAAGCGCGGATATATACAGCCTTTATTTCCTGGCTCGCAAAGCGAATAACTGTTTCGATGTTGAAACTGAACAAAAGTTCTTAAGATTTGAAGAATTTCAAGTGGTGTTTTTGTACCCACAGTAACGTCTATTGAATTCGCTGACTTTTTCAGTATATTATGGTCTGACTCTGTGTAAAAGTTTAAATTAGTAAATGAAGCGATGTGCTGGTGTGTGCTTGGTGGATTTGGTAGATATGCAGTGTTGTCAACTAATGAACACTATCGCTTTTCCTTTTGGTGAATGTTAAGTATGGAACTCATCTAAGTATTGATTATATCATGACCATTTGTTCTATTATCACTGTCATTTTTCTTCTTTTGTTTCTTCTTCTTCTTCTTCTTCTTCTTCTTCTTCTTCTTCTTCTTCTTCTTCTTTCTATTATTTTTTTTTCAATGTTATTTGGGTGTTAGTGCGTACGTATAGTAATAGAGTCACTTGTCGTGAAGAAAGTCATGCTTTATGCTAAACATCATTGTAAAGGAGTGGAGATGCCATACGCCATATCAACTTTGAATTTGACCTGCCATACTTTTTCATCTTTCGCTTGCAAATTCTGACGTTTAGATACAATGTTCTATTATTCTATGAGCGTATACAATGCACATCTAATTTACCATAGTCATCATAATGTGAAAGACATCCTGAGCACAGGGTTAAAAGGTTCCTTTTGCAATGCATTTTTGATGTACGAAGATAAGTAATCTTTCTGTTCTGTGCTCTGGAAATAAACACATTTACACTTAAGTATTACAATGAACATCATTGGAACACACACACACACACACACACACACACACACACACACACACACACACACACTGGCGATCTGCCTCTCAATATTAAGCAATGAATTACGACTGTCTAAGAGACCCAATGCAATGAAATGTGTTACTTTCTAAATAATACACAACAGAGAGTTCATGAGACGTCAATAACTATAGTGATATGCGTTCGTATACCGACAGCTTGCTTCAAGACACTTGTATTCCGCTTTTGTAAAAGATGAGCGTTACTCTTTACCGACCGTTCGATCAATCGTGGACACATTCGGAGTGAGAGTTCTCAGCAACTACTCTTTGGGGGAGGGGGTGGGGGGGTTCTAAGCTGACCACCTTATTTGGACTGATGCTTTTGTAACCGCATGATCTATTAAAATGCATGTTAGACAGCTTATCAACGCCTGGATAATTAGTTACGCGTTCTCATTATAACAGCGAAGTCGGGAGTTTTTAGTACCTAAAATGATATATAATATGTATCTAGAAAATAATTGAAACATCTCAATGCTCTACCAGCATGAAAGTTCTAAAATGTTATGTATGGTCAACCCTTCAATATGACTGAATGCTGGACAATTACTAAAGACAATGGGAAAAAATAGAAGCGGCAGAGATATAGCTTCTTAAAGAGACTGCTGAGAATATCTTGGAAGGAAAACAAATCAAATGGGGAAGTACTTGAACTTGAAGAAGCCCACGTGGCCCGCTCGCTGATGAAAACAATCAGGAAAAGACAAATGCAGTTTTTGGGACACCTAAAGGGATATGAAGACCTTGAACATCTAGCTCTCACTAGAGCAACTTACTTGGAGAACCTTAATGAATTGTTGACAATGAAGGATCAGGGTAATGTTGCTTTTCTGAGAGCATCCCAACGGAGGTGTGAATGGAAAACCATGATCGCCCATGTCTATCGCAGATCTGGCGCTTGATGATGATGATCTAAAAATGAAGTAAAGCATTGTTACCAACTACAGTAAAATGTGTGTTTTAACCCTATCCGTACTGTACCAAACATGTTTATTGGCACGGATGAATTCAGATATGTATTACAGACTTGATATCTGGACAGGAACACATACGTGTCACTCACTGGACTCACGAGGCAGGGACAGGAAGCTTGACCTCTGGAGAATGGTAAGGGGAATTAACCCACATAACTAACATGATTAACAATCAACAAGACTACTGATTGTTGACCTTTGAAACATTCTTAAAGATTCGTTACACGTACGCCCTGGGATCATTTTGTACCCCAGGGGTTGTATTCTTCACATTTTAGAATACTTCTAGTACGAAAATCGCTTTGAAACTTTCAGTATTTCTCAAAAAATCATTTTGACAGACTGCTATGCAAAAGCGTGCGGATCGGATTAGCGTGTAAATCTCCTCTTTGGAAAGTGGTGGCACAGGGTTCCCCATGTCGTATGGATACGATAGTATAACACGACGTACGGATAGGGTGAATAGTGAAATAGATAACCGCTTATTTCGAGCAATGTGCAGTTGTTTTCATCTAGGAATTATTCCCTGAGGTCACGAGTTGTAAAGGCCAGCGGGGGATCACGTAAGACAAGAGGCCTGTTTAAAAGTGCAAGCATTTTTAGGTTTTGGAACAACACAGCAGACTCTGTGACAACACGTTTACCCCATGTTTTTTGGAACGAGAGAGCTGAGCAAGCGGGTTCGTAATAATAATGATGATGGTGATGATGATGATAATAATACATATGATAATAATAATGATAATAATAATGATGATAATGATAATAATAATGATTATTTTTTTATAATTAGACCAATTACTAGTATTGTTATCATTATTATTATTATTATTATTATTATTATCATTAATATTATTATTATTATTATTATCATCATCATCATTATTATTATCATTATTGTTATCAGTAATAATAACAATTTGCTTTTATTTTGCCCATTTTCATCTCTAAGAGATGTCCAATATGTATCACAAAGATTTAAAACTTGTCTAGGTGTTAAATAGGCCAGAACTATAAGGTTTGGATACCGTAAGGAACTTTAAATGCTGAAGTGCTAGTTAATGTTTAGGAAATGTCCAAACATCCATCAACAAAAAGAATAGATACGTGTTACAACAGAGGGGCTCCTCTTGTGTGATGGTAACGATGTCCGGCCCTGCCGTAAAGATCGTAGAAGATGTGAAGAGAGGATGAAAAAAGATGGGGGAGGGGTGGGGAGGTTAAGTGGGGGGGGGTGAGTGGGGTGGCGACAGGTGTTGTCAAAGACTTTCTTTCTGCCGGGGTGATGTATCCCGTGAACGAGGCCGTGGCAGACAAGGCTGAAGAAGCCTGTCTCCTGAATTATCTGAATTGTGTCCACAGGGAGCGAAAAAACGTTCTAATCTGTCAATCAAAATACAGCTGTTATCTCACTGTTTGTGGGAGTTGTTTTTTTTTTGGGGGGGGGGGGGTTGGGAGGGATTTTTTGCGCCATCATTAGGGCTGAAATAACATTTTGTGGTTACTTTGGCGAGACAAACCTTATGCTGCATCAGCTGTTTGGTTGTGGGGGGTTTTTAAGGGTTCTTTTTTTTTGGGGGGGGGGGGCGGGTGGAAGGGTCTGTTGTCAAATGGGTTTTTTTCATATCGAAGTCTAGAGAGAAGTGACCCCGCCCGTGAAGTCGCCGTTAGACGCTTTGCCATCGCTTGAGGAGGGCATACGTTTGATTCCTCTATGGATGTTTTTTTCAAGTTCAGTATTCCCGTCTGTTTGCTGGGACATGTTTAATTAAAGCAGCAAAACCACCAATGTCTGTGGTGTAGCGGTGAGGCACTTTACATGAGACGTGACTTTGGTTCCTATGTACGTTGGTGTTGGATCAATTATTTATAATATCAGCCTGTCTGCTGGAATGCTGCATCCCTCTCAGTTCGAGTTGGCCCTGGCACCCCGACTTCTAAATATTCTAAAATGTGTCCATGGCCATGGGCGCGTGAAAGTGAAACAACTACACTTCGTGTGACAACTTTAAGGCGCGTCAACCATTATCATTTAGTAACTTTAAAAAAAAATGAGAATCAGAAGCCTCTCAGTGTCACTCCCTTTTATAACTAGATCTAAATCCGGTGAAAAGTCATAAAGAGACAAACGCGGGATTCACATTTTTTTTCGTACCTTTACGAGAAAGTAAATTTCGACACCCCCTCGCCTCCCCGTCCATTCTTAGAATAACTTAGAAATCATGTTGCCTCACGAAGAGACCAGGCTGTTTATGCTGTTAATGTATTTGTTGGTTGTTTTTGTTGTTGTTGTTGTTGTTGCTGCTGTTTTTGCTGCTACTGCTGCTTCTGTTGTTGTTGTTGTTATTGTTGTTATTGATCCACAAACAACTGAAAGAATGTGTTTATAATAGGTAAAGTAAGTTCCCAACGGTTGGGGGGGGGGGGGGAGGGAGTGCGCACTCAAAATTACTTTTACCCTTTTAGAAACGTAATTTAGTGATTTACATGTTTCTTGAAGCGGGCTGTCGTTCTGTAACTGTGTCCATATTAACTCGTGATGATGATGTATAAGTATTTTTTCATCCCTGCCTTTGCTCTGATGCCTTTGAAGGGGGAATTAATTGTACATGCATTAATCTTCAGAGACATGTCTTTGGTACAACAGTACATAGGAATGGCTTACGGTGTGTGCTTATATGGTTTGTGTAGTTTATTGGGAGGAGACAAGAAGCGGCATGCAATCCCTTGGATCGTCTGAGTGAAAGAGAGGAAATGTTTACACGCAGAGCAACTCATGAGCCGCGTGCTCTCTTGCACCAACTCTATTTTCTGTCTCATAAGAGTTTTGTCAAAGCTGTCAAGACTGTTAACAAGTGTTTCTCAATAAGCCCAAAAACTACTATGGTTGGCGTCCGTTTTCCTTTGGATTTCAGTTTAATTTTGTACCGAATCCTTTAATTTTTGTTGTTGTTGTTTTGTTTGTTTGTTTATTCGATTTTTATAATTTTAAAATGCAATGCTTTCAACGTGATTTACATCAGAACTGGCTAAATGGAGTTGGTCCGAGATAGCACCGAGCTTTCAAACTGTATTTTTTTTTCACAGAAAAACTCCCTGACAATGTACTTTAGATATTGCCCTGTGTGTGCTCATGTTTTCAGCTTAGTTCTATTGTCCAACATCTGGTATTCTTCCGAAAAAGCAAAAATAAAAATTAATTAATAAATCGGGGCATGAGATTAAGAATAGAATTTGTAGGAAGCTCAAATTTTCGAATGAAGGTTTTTGCCCTAATTGTGTGCAATTTCTTTTGTGTTTCTCTGTTCCTGACGTGGTTTTGTTTTGTTTTGTTTTAGCGAGGGGGGGGGGGTTTTTTTTTTTTTTTTTTTTTTTTTTTTTGGGGGGGGGGGGGCTTTTTGTTTGTTGTTTTTTTTTTCTTTTCCTCTTTTCTGGATTGTTGGAGGTCAACACTGGTACGTTCTGATTCTTTCCATACCCTCGGTTGTTTCTTTCGGTCTCTCTTGCCTTTTTCCTTCACTAAATATCCACATTCGTATGAAAGAATGCTGTGTTCTCAAGGCTCTGAAAGTGACAGACTAGTCAGGGGAAAGAAATAATTTATCCTGTTTTTAAACTTATAAGCCTAATGAAGTGCAACCCTTTCGGCTCCTGTGGTTAAGTAGTCACTGTATTCAAATAACAGACTTGCCTGCGAATCTCATTTTGGGAAAATATGTACATGGGCATCTCTGTCTTTGGATTAGTGTCTGTGTAGTGTAGAGGTCACGCACTTAGATGTCGTACGCAGAAGACCCGAATTTGATTCCCCAGTAGGGAGAAAATATGTATTTATCGAGCAACTCGGCCTTTCTGCAAGGATGTATCCCTCTCAGCCAGGATTGAGCCAGAAGGACATGGATGAAAGCTCACCTTACCTTCTAATTAATCTAAACTGTGCCGATGGGGGCGTAAAAACGCCA